CTGCCACTGTCTCGTTGAGGGCGGACAGAATCTCCAACAATTTGATGTTGATATGAACCGTTACAGTAACGAACGAAGGTCGTATTTCAGAACAATGGGAAACATGATGAAGCCAATAACACTTGATGTTGGACATATAGCAAAATATAACTGGCCAACTCCGTAGTCTGTTTCATTCTCTGGAGCTAGTACCAGATTGTCTCTGTTTCAAGGAAGGGTAGGCCTGAGTACGAGTTGTATCTGGTATTTCACCTAACTGACTGCCGTCTAAAGCTGTCTTCTGATTGGATGAAATTGTCTCTGAATAGCTCACCTGCTTCTCAATTCTAAGAACTTTAGATTCAAGCACCTCTAGTTTCTTCTCAACATCGCTAACTTTTTGAGTGAATTCTTTTAATTCAGTTAAAGTGGAATGAATCAAAGCTGAGCTTTGTTCTTCCCGATGTTTCGTAGTTTCAAGGCTTGTAGCCATGTCTTCCATTCGCTTGTTTGTTTCTCTCAGCGTTGAGGTAAGAATAGATACACGGCTCTGGAAAATGGATAACAACAATGGATCAATTAATGAATTTAGTTCTGAGCCTAAGAAATGCCAAAGTCATTATATACACCCTCTCGGTGTAACTTTAAGGATGACCTTTAAGGACGATCACGCTATACAAACTACTGATACTCCCGGGTTCAAACCATTTACTATGACACTTTACTCTCATAGTGCCTCTCTCCACCTAGGTTTATAAATGGGTACTGGCGAACTTAATGCTGGGGGTAACCCTGCGATGGACTAGATCCCATCCAGGGGGGAGTAGAAATACCCCTAGTCACTTCATGCTACAGANTTTTTTTTTTCGTTGAAACAGTTCTCAAGAAAGTGCACTACCTTGCAATTCTGTAAAACAAGCAAACTAAATCAAAAACCTTCGGTTTTCAGTTTAGTTTCATCGTCTAATTCTTCGGACTTTCAGCGCTCCGGAAACTTTGGGTCACTTCGGAAGTCATCGGTTGGGCTTCGGCAATCTTTGAACAAATCGCTTGTTCCTCGGTGATTTTTGGAGGTCTCCTAAAATTTAGTTAATCTTCGTTGCCATAGAAACTTAGTAGATACTCCGAGGTCGAAGGAACTGATCTCCGCGAATCAAAACCTGGGATCTTTGCTGAACGTACTATAACTCTCTTTAATAAAATTATGGCTAATATGTTTTATAGATTAACTCATTCATGTTTTACCTGCAAAACTCGCGTACGGTTTTCAGAAATTTCAAACTTCTCATCTAGTTCATCTTCATTGCATTTAGCCTGTTAAAAAAAGATATTTTAACTGGTATTTGTAGTTTTTAAGATATTCGTTTTAAAAGCTACAGTTAATTTGGTTTCACCCCAGTACAACTCTGTTATGCTTCACGTTTTTGCATGGTACTTACTTGAAGTTGTTTTTCAATTTGTTGAATGGCTTGTAAAAGTTCTTCATTTTCCCTACGGATATCCTTAATCCGTTTGGTTTGTACTCGTAAAACGTCTCTAAGATCATTTATTGCGTTATTCTGCAAAACATAATCATTATATTACATACTGTTATACAGTATACAGTGTAAAAGATTTAAGATAAACTGCAGTGCGAAAATGGAAATCCAACGTTTTAAGTGTTAGCCCAACGAGTATATATCGTCAACT